CCCAGCCTGTACTTGTGCTTCACAGTTACGAGACAAAAACACAGCATTGGAAGAGAGACTTAACACTTTCATTGGCTGCACTCAAGGACAGGGTTGTTCTTAAAATTCATGAAAAAAGGAGGAAAAAAAATTGTATTTGTCGAAATGCATTCACCACCCTAAACTCTTCTCATCTGCCTTTAATCTTGTTATGCCAAAATTTCCTCACATCCTTTGGCCACTGTGGTCATGCCCTGCACAAGTGCCCTGGGTGGGTAACCAGCCTGTCCAGACACCTGCTTCACTCTCCTTTCCGTACTCTCGGCTGCTCCACCTACTCTCCACCACCAGCCTTCTCTAGAAGGATCACACAACAATCCTATCCTTTCTGCTGTGACCAAAAGGCCAAAATAAACAAAAAGGTCCCACCTGCCTCCCAAAGTTTTTCACCAGCTCCTGGACAGATTTCCCACCTTCTCCAGGTGCTTCAGAGCACCAGTGATAACCATATCTCCCACATGGGCTGGAACAAGACCAACTTGGCTGTTGTCAGTCAAATAACACAATCTCCTTCTTTCTGCAGGGAGTCTCTGACAAAGGTGGTATTCAGGTCTTTTTATCCCTACTAGCAGCCACTAAGGGAGTTAAGCTGTACCCTATTAATTTTTTTTTCTGTCCAGCTATACAACTCAGCTGTCATAGGGCTGATGAGGGCCCCTGCAGCCAATTAACCACTTCCTAATTTGCATGGGTTTCTTATATAAGCAACACTTAGTATATCAAATCAAAGCAGGGGCTCCAAAGCTTCTAATGGGACAGAGCTCTAACCACACTCCAGATACTCACCCATAAACTCAGCTAACTCAACATTTAAAAAGACTCACCCCAATCTGTCATTCCATGGTCAGAAGTTAAAATAAATGCAGTTTTTCCATCATTTCCATAGAAATCATCAATCATCAAAGCAATTTCTTTTACACCCTCATCAACTTTTTTAATATTCTCCTTGTATTCCCTAGAAATATAAGAAAAAATTTTGTTAGGTTCAAGGCAGCTGTCACACCTGGTATAAAGCAAGTTATCCATGGTCATAATACCCAGTCCTTTGATTACAGACAGGTTTATCCTCTACAGAACCTCAAGCTAACAAAAGGCATCCCAGATGTAAAATCTCTCCTCCTCTAAGTCTTATGTGAGATACTAAATTGTCACAGCACAGTTTGAAGTTTCCTGAAACCACAGTTTCAAGTGTGTATTTCTGTATATTTCAAATCTGACCTGTCCTAGATTGAAGACTATATTAAATCACTCACAGCTATCAAGCAAGTTAAGGAGAATGCCAGAAATAAGGAATGCTGGAAAACTCAAATGCCTTAAATCCTAAGTTTCAAAAATTACTTTAAGCCACTAACTAAATAACAAAAGAAGGTCTCGCCATGCAGGGACTGTTTTGAGATAATTCATAGATCAGGACAGATCCCAGAGTTTCATGAAATAGAGGCTAAACCAAAAATTTGTATATTTTTAGAAAATGTGACTTGATTAACTTTCAGCCAACTAATATTCTATTTGTTGCTGTCGTTAAAGTCAGTTTTAAAACTCTATCTTCAAAAAATCATAACAAAAAGAACATGAGACATACAGCAAGTATGAACTTCGGAATGATGCAGGAAATCAAAGCAAGGATTCTGAAAGTATGCAAGGATCAAGAGAAAGACATAATAGCCTAGATTCAAAGCATTTGAGGAAATGAAAAGAAAGTTCTCGAATAGCACACTTCAAGATGAACTGGTGATGAGTACTGCTAAGGTAAACTCTTCTCTTTGTTCAAGTGTCCTAAGGAAAGTTAAAAGAGAATGCTGGAATTTGCAACCATTATTTCCGAGTTTACTGCTGTCTTATAAATTCAACCATACCATTTCAGCCATGAGGAATCTGAGAACTGTGTCTATTTTGTATTTAAAACTGCAATTTCCTGCATATCCTCAAGATTACGTGTTGACTATAAATAAGACAATCTGCTAAAACTCAGATTTGAGTAGGGGAGTACAACCAGACACATTGCATATAGCAAAAATCCATCACTTCTACAGAGAAGACCTTAAAAACAAAAAAATCCCAGAAAATCAGAACATAAATATCCGTGACAACATACATGACCTATCGTAGAAACCCTCAAGACTACAAGTCCTTTTTCAGGACTGACAAACACCATTGCTAAAAAAGTTAACGTATGCATTTGAAAGTAGTAAGAAAGACACGCTTACTCTCTCAGTTACCTTGAGTTTGGCCGATGAGCATGTCCATTTGTGTCTATGCCTAGCAAATGCAGGAACAGAACCACTTTCTCTTCATTCAGTGCAGAGAACAACGTTTGATTACTTCTGGAAGAATTAAAGAAGCTCTGTATGGAATAAGGTTTAAGATATTAATCTGAGTACAATGGGAAAAGATGATAGGCAGGGTATTAAAATTAAACTACAACTGTTTTCATGGCAAAATCTTAATAGTGATTAGAGATATTGAAGAGAAAAATTAATTGTCTTCCAATTTACTTCTTTGGAGGGTGACTACCATCAATATAGTCAGTCCAAAGTTTCAGCCTAAGACAGGCAAAACTCCTTAAATTCAGGTGTCTTTTTTTTGTTTGTTTTTGGTTTTGTTTTGTTTGGGGTTTTTTAATGTTATCTGAGTTTCTTTAGGCAGAAATACCAGAAAACTACTGTGTACCATCCCTTCCTTGCCTCCTATGCGATCACAACTACACATCATTCCTGAGATCCACTTACGGCTTTATACTTCCACTGATTTATGTCCTGAGCTGGAAGCAAAGTTCTGAAATGATCTTGCTTTGGAAGCAGGATCTGCAGGACTGAGATACAAAGCTACAACTCTTTTGCAGAAACCAGATGAAAACAGAACAAAACAAGACATTTGCAAATACATGAACTACAGAACATACATCTGCCTTGCACATGTCCTACTTAAGCATCCCTGAGGCAGATGCCGGGGGGATTTTCCCCTCGGATTGAATGAGTCTCGACACGGCTGTTCTGTGTTAGACCAGCCACATTACAGCAGTGCAAAATGCAGGCAGACAGCTATTCCAGCATGATCTCCTTAGTAACAGCACAGCCCAAGGAAGAAAGTTGGGTAGAGTTTTAGCTCAAAGGGCATCCAAAGAACCTTTCAGCACACTAATATAAAGGAAAGGGTCTTCAAATTTCACACAGAAGTCCAGGGAAGATGCTGTGAGAGCCAGTGAACCATTTCTGCCACCAAAGGACAGAGCAGTCAGTCACACACTTGTGACAGCGGTGGAGCTCTTACAAACTAAAGCTCACACCCTGTGTAAACTCAAGTCCCTGTACCCAGAGGAAGACCAAACTGGCAGCAAGAGTATCATAGTAAGCCGTGTCAGGAAACCATGGCAGTAGACAATTCCACCTTTTTCCCCCCCCTGAATATACACAGCTGCATGGACTAATATTTGTACGCTCTCGACTTCAGCTCTTGTCCAAACAAAATCATGACCAAAGTCCAGAGATATTTTAAATAAAGATACAAGAACAAAATCTGATCACATTCAATAGCTATATAATCATTTTTATGGAGATTTCCATTTCCCACAGGGGTCCATCCACCTGCACGTATTTGACCCCAGACTGAAAAAGCTTTCCAGAGCACACCAGTTAATTTGTAGGACATAGTATAATTCTGTTTTATTATTTTTAATTAAATAAAAGGAAACAACATATCAACACAAACAGGAAACTCACAAAATTGAATCCTAAAATGTAAATCAATATTGGAAGGCAGGAATTTTTCTATCGCAGGCATGACAAAAGGAAGATGAGCATAACCTAAGATGTGGTATCTTTTCCCAGAACAAATAGCAAACCATCACATGGAATATTAAAAAAAAAAACAAAAACAAACAAACAAGTAGGAAGTTCACCACAAGGAGGTACCTTAGGCTGATAAAGGTAGTGAGTTGGTAAGCAGGACACCGAACAGTTGGGGCAAAAACCACTTCACCTTGCTATGGAGGTAGCTGAACTCTTTGCCCAACTCACAGTGGTATCTCCTCGTAGCCTGTTAAAGGCCTTTTCTTTTTGGTATTCAGTATTCACAAAACCTGAGACCTACTGCCACTCAACACTAGTTTCCAAGCCAACTTATATGTTAACTATATCTTTGTCTCTTATTTTTTGTTTGTTTCCCTTTAATTTGCTCTACTCAGTAAATATTACCTTCCTTGTATATTTAAGCCAAATGCCAGCAAGAAGTTTCAGGGACAGGAGTAAACCACAAAGAGACTGAGAGAATCCAGTTTCTCCAGTCTCAAGAAAAGGCAGCTATAAGGAGAGATCTCATTGCTGTCCACAACCGTCTCCTGGGGAAGTGAAGAGAAAATTGAGCATGACTGCTCAGAGGGCCTTGGTGATGGGACAAGGAGAAACAATTTGAGATGTGGGCAATTCCAGTAAGATCAAGATACTTTTTAAAATTATTTTTTAAACCATAACTGTAGCCAGATACTGGAACAGTTGCTCAAGAGGTGGTTGAATTTCTGACCTTGAAGTTGCTCAAAACTTGAATTGGCAAGGCCAGAACAGCCTGCTCTAACTGGACCTCTTTCACACAGGGAGTTGGACTTGATGACACTACAGCTTTCTTCCAACCTTCTTTTCCTATGGTTCTGGCAACTTTTCTATCATTTTCTGGCAACTTACAACAAATAATGCCCTGGCTACAACTGATATGCAATTTAGTAAGATCAGCAATAAGTTACCCATTAAAACATTCACAGTAAACTATAAAGTTAATTATAATGTAATACTAATTAAAGCAATACAAGATAAGTTTGGTTACAACTATGTGAAGTTTTTTAGTATCATCTCTCTCCTTGAATATGAGAAAACAAAGAAGACAGACAACTACCTGGAAGTCCTAGCAAATACATGATTTACTGATGTCTGACCAAAATATAGACTCCACAGATGTTTAACATAAGTTGTTGGGGACCATCTGTTCCCCTAAACAGGGCCCTCCATGCAAGCATGATCCTTTAACAGAGCTGATAAACTGTTGCTGTCTACATGGATGTACAGGGAGAAAGAGACCAAACAAAGCTTAACATCAGTCAGTTCTGGACTCCGGTGCCTACCCTGCACTGAAGGGAAAGTCTGTAGGCTCGGTCTGGCCTTCTTCGAGCAGAAACGGGCCAAAGGAAGAATAAGTACTGTGTTCAACATGAGAAAAATAAAAATTTAAAAAAAAAAGGAAAGAAAGAAAGAAATGTTTGCCATCTGCACGTACATGTCCATTTAAGTCAGCAGACATCAACTAAATAACTTGAGCATGTCCTACCCTGTAGACTAAATAAATTGTGGTTAGACCACTACTAAGTCTCATCTCCAAGACTGTTTCAGTTCCTGGACTTTTAATCATTTTATCCTAAAAAACACTTCAAATTTATAAAACTGTTTTCCACAAAACACTTAAAATCAGAAATGCATTAAAAAGACCTTTTTTTTTTCCTGGTAGTTAACCTAGACTCCCAATATTTTTCTCCCTAATTTTTCTTTAGCATAAACTCAAACTATGATATAGGTAAAGGTTATTTAACTGAGAACCATTGGGCCACATCACATGAAATTACACTCAGTCCCTTAATTATTTTGAAGGTTTCTAAACCCCACCCCACCCAAAACAAAAGGAAAAAAAACAACCAACCCAAAACCCCAAAATCCAGCACCCCCAGCAAACAGAAAAAAACCCATTAGTCAATCAACTCCATACCTACCTGGATCTTCCAACCACTCCCAAGCTATTACCACACATGAAGATTACAGAGTTTTAACCCAGCTGCAGATAAAACCCCCACCCAGATTAGCCCATACTCTAGAAAGGGCTAGAATCACCTTGTACTATGAGCAGACATGACAGGAACTATCAAGTATACATTTTTTCCTCCACTTATGATTAAGCAATTTGCTGCTGATCCATACAAATAAAAACTACTCAAGGTTTCACATCTCCTGACCAACTGAGTTATTGTTAGCACTTCAAGACAACAGGCAATTTTAAGGTCGCAGCACTAGTAGCCCAAACATTAGTTAGCCTTTCTACATTTTCTCCCCATCTTTATTCCCAGAGGAAGTCACAGGAAGCCACAAGTGGAACCTCGTGGTGCTTGGGACCAGCTGACTAAACAGTAGAGAGGGATTACATGTCAATGCCATTCACTTCCTAAAGAGGCAGAAATCCAGGGACAACATCGCTCAACATAGAGTTAAACGATATGTTGTTAAATATTTGAGATAAAACTCAAAGGAGGAAAAAACAACGTAGGCAAAGCAGAATTTAAATTTCAGCAAACTGTCGCTGTTACTTTAATCTCATCAGCATAGCTGAGAGTGGTACACTTATAATAGCAGAGTGACCTCAGTTTCGGTCAGCCCCAAGTTTCACATTTCTGATGCAATCACTGATGTGTAATTGAAGAGATGATTAATGGAACAAGTGTTTTACACCAGTCAGTCAAGCCCTATCCATTCACAATATGAAATTTAGATGGGCAAAATAAGTCTTCTAAAACAATGGTGCTGGTTCAAGGGAAAAAGGCATCATTAAAGCCATATTTATTAAATATATCATTATAGTTTGGAAGAAGGAATGTCATTAGGTGTTTTAAGCAGGAGAGCTAGTGCCACCCTAACATACCTGTGCAGCTCCAAATGACAGCAGGGTGCGACTTTAAGACAACATCTATTCAAGTGTAATTGACAGCCTAATTTGATTTGTATTATTCATACACATCACAACAGGGAACCTGGCACAAGTGCATATTCAGGGAGAGGATGTCAGGTAGAAAAAACATCATCTTTTCATCTGCAAACTCAGAAAATTACTTCATTTGAAAATTAGCCAACTATAATGAACTTCTCCACCCTACGTCACTGTTCAAAGCAGACCCACCCTTTGCTTCCTAATATAGATCCTGATTTGGTTTATGGATTTATTTGGGATTATTTTTGGTTCGATTAGATTTATGCTGGTTAGCTAATGTTAATGCATACAGCCCAGAGACCTTGTGGAAAAAGTTTTATTAAGTATTAAACTCCATTAACATTGTTATGAGATCCAGAAAGTAACTCACCTAATTGCTCCACTGATACAGGTAATTATACACCAATAACCACTTATCAGTATTTCTTAATCCAGGACAAGTGAAACAGCATGGTGTAACATGAATAATGTTACTTAATAATTAATTAATAATCAGAAACTATGTGCCTTGGACTGTTAATGCTTACAGTGACAGCATCACAGAAAACGACAGTCATGAACCAGCGCTGACCCAAGTCAGCTGAGCAGAGCACCATGTAAACAAGCTATACTGCTTCAGGGCCTAAGCTGCCTCCATCCCCGCTTTCCCCCCTGAAACTAACCGTGACCCCTCTGGCAGCCACAGCATAGCACGCACCACAGCAGACAATCAGGAGCCAGCTACGTGCATCGGAACAAGCCACGCTGTACAGTGACAGTGGGTACAAGCCTGACAAAGATAATTCAATAATACTGTCCATTTCTTTCTTATAATGAAGACTTACCATTTCTGCCACGCCATAATACTCGTTATAAAAGCCTTACCTAATCACATTCAAGATTTTAAAGGGCCTGTAGTAGTCCCCGATGGGTTTCAGAGTATATGCAAATTTAAGACAAAGGAAAGCCAAGAATGGTTTTAAAGAGTACTTCTATTGGTGCTAGTTTTTGAATAACAAATACTTCCTCTAAGCTTCCATTAAACTAGTCAAAATAATCGATTCAAGCCGTTTTCACTTATGACCCCAAGTGACAGGTCTTTCAAAAACTCTTTACTTTCTAGTTCTGTGATGAAGTTAACATCCAGCCGTGCTTTTTATGCACAGGTAGCATAAAAAGATTCTCTGCTCACCTTAACATGATCAAAAACCCACATGTCAAGCTCGGCTGCATCTTGTGCTCCGAAGTCTTCACTTTCTGCCGTGTAACAAAATGTATAAACGTGATCTCCAGTAGCACCTGCAAAAAGAGTACCGATGGAATAGGAGACGGAAAAGTTCCCTTCCTTTACTCACACTCAAAAATACATGAATATTAATGCATAGGAATAGAAACCTATGAAGAATGACAATCCTGAGAGAACTCAAAAGAAGTTTTGTCCTTTTTAGACTTTCCCATCATTATGGGGTTTTTATTGAACCCCGGATACCATTTTAACTCATTAGCTTATCAGCACTTCATAGGAATGAGGAGCAATGTTATCCAGTACACTCAGGGGAGGAAGTAAAGTATGGAAAAGCAGACAGGAATAGAACAAATCCCAATTAAAGCAAATTACCAGACTGAGTTTTGAAACAAGGAATTTCACTGAGAAACTTTAACAGAGGACGCTATGCATTAAGAGCCTTGTTTAAACACATGAATTTGGGGGAGGGGGGTTGTTTAAGAAAATGTGCTTGGCTTTTGGTTGTTAAACTCAATCATACAAGACAATGCCCTATCAATAAGGCCTTTTACACAGGAAAACATCATATATCCCACATAAGGAAGGCAATAAGAGGGATGTGACTTAGCTACTGTACATCAGTTCTAGGAGGCAATGCATTATTGAAAGCCAAGTGGACAACTTCAGAAAGGCAATATTCAAAGTCTGCATCTTTAAAACATGGATTCAAAATATAAAAGGGAGAACTACTGGACTATGTTCAGGCATAAAATACAACATGAGGGCCACTGATGCGAAAACACAGCATCTGGACACAGCAATTTCATTCTGTACTCACTGTCAAGAGAGCAAAGCAGAGAAAGGGGATGAGGAGGAAGATGAAGAACTAGAAGAAAGTAAAATTCTAAAGTCGTGGAAAGATCTGAAGTTAGGTGGGGTTTAATGAAATAATTTAGTCAGTGGCTGAGCTGTTATAGCTCGGGGATGCTGTTTCTACCATCACCACGTAAACTCCCAGAGGGAAAACGTTCTTCTATCAGCTGATGGCCAGAGAGAATGTAACCTATTTGCTGGATGTCCCAATTATATAATGCAGTTTTGTAAGCTTCCAGGCTTGTGAATGAACTAACATTCCAGTATAAGGGGGCTGTTTAACCAAGATTATGTCCAAACCCACGCAAGAGTTGCAGGTATTTCAGGCCAGGAAGATGAAAGCTGGTACAGATTTTCTGGTACACCTTCCCCCTACCCCCCTAGGAGACATTACTGCTACTTATAACCCAGAACACTCACTGCAGTTCTCACTGTCTGAAAGAAAAGGAAGAAAATACTCCCAGGCATTAAAAACTGAATTAAGGGGTTCCAACCAGTGGATAAATGAGTTCAAAAGAAGAAATAAGCCCTGGCCATCCCTGTCAGGATGACTGATGGTCTAAGAGTGTAGAGTGCTGTACTGTTTTTCCGCAGTGTCACAGCAAACCCAAGACAACCTGTCTTTGGAGAGGTGCCCTGCCAAAGAAGCCAAATGAAAGCTTGCCTTTTGCAGGTCAGGCAAAGGAGCACGTCTACTACTTACCATTTTTATGAGTGCCTGCATAGCTTATAAAATATTTTATTTCTTTTTTTTAAATAAGAAAGCTTTGGATGTTACAAAATTTTATTTTATTTCTGTCATTTGAGAGGTGGCAGGCAACCATATGTCCACTACACTCTGAGTCTGGGGGTGAGGAAGGAAAGTTGGGATAGAGAAGTAGAAGGAAGCCAGAGATGAAGACCTTTAGAAGCGAGCAGAGCACTCTGCTGGGTTTGGTGCTGCCAATTACACCAAGGGAAATAACTGGAAGTGCCAGAAACCCCTACACTAGATACCACCCATTCCCACTGCAGACTTGTCTGGCACATCATCTCACCCTCAGCATCAATATTCAAATATTAGGATCAGGGATCAAGTTATCACCCTCTTGCAAGAAGATTTACATCCTGCGGAAAGCAAGGCGCTCTGTTATCAGGGCAGGTCCTGCATCTAACATGTCTTCCATGGGTCAGAGCCCAGATCAGCAGGAGACCTTTGCTAGCAAATTTTGCAGGCATAAAAGAGGGGAAAAAGGAATGAAAGCATAAGGACGACAGAGCATGGGCATCAGAGAGCTGTCATCAAATACAGCCAGGTGAGGAATGTGAGAAATTCTGCATTCCTCTTGGTGCTCTGTAGGAACAAGGAACCAGACGAGGAGACCAAGAGGTCTGTCTGTCCAGACAAGGTTTGTCCCAGTCATCCCTGTGGTCTTGGTGATACCCTTCTTCATACTCAAGCTAAACAATGATCCTAGCCTTGCTGCTAGTTTCCAAGAGACAGAAAGGGAACCTGGGGAAGAAATGGCAATCTGGGTGCAAAGGACTAAAATCTACTTCCCTTAACAGAAGCAATAGCCTCAGCTCCTTTTTCAGCATGGCATTTACTACTCTGGATTACACTCCAACCTAGGCCCATGACAAAACAGTACAGGACTGAACTGTTTACTCAAATGCTGCCAAGTCAAGAAGAAAATGTCAAAATTTCAAAGAGCATTCTGGAAATAATATAGGCATTTTCAAAGTACATTATCTTCTCATAATTTCAAGACCATAATCCAAAAATATAATAGAAAAATAAGATTATTAAGTCATCTTAACTATTAGAAACTAATACCTTATAATCCTGCTTACGATGTAATTAAGTTGCAAACCAGTTCTAAGATACTTCAGACATTTTCTAACTTTTCGGACTAAAACACTAATCAGTCATTGAGACTTTGACAAGTTTAGATTCTAGGTGTATCTATTTTGATATTGAAATAGATCTGTAAGCATTTTATTTACCTTCTGTGTAGAATCCTCAAACATTTCATTGAAATATTTATTTTATGACAGGAAAAGGACCTGAAGAGCATAGACAATGACAGGAAACAAAGGATTTCTCTCCTTCCCAAAAGGCAACAGGTGTTATACACCCTTTATGCATCATCCAATGAAAGCAATGAAACAGTTAACACAATTCTGAACATTTTGGCATTAAAATAGACAAAAGAGTCCTGTGACCACACTAATTTCCAACATGGAAAGAGGGAGAGAAATTAAGCTATGCTTCCCTATGTACTTTTTAGCCTTTTTGTAAAAGTAAAGTTAAAGAACAAACACTTGATCCATTCCCTTCTGTATTACAGAACTTTTCCTCTTTGGAAGCTGTATTACAAAATCTTTTTTGTATTATAAAACTTCCCCTCTTTGTAAGAAGGGGAAATGCCTTTTTCTACCAGAAGTTTATCTACCTTTCTATCATGAGAAACTATGATTCATTTTCCCATGCAGCATCTAGTTCTCAGATAGAGTGCTGCACTAAACCTCCCCCAGTTTTGGGAGATTTCCCCACCCTCTTGCAAAAGAAAGCTCCATCACTGGTGCCACTCAGAGCAAGCCACATTGAGACTCACAGCAACAGCATGGTATTACCCTTGCACATCCCTCCAGATAGCATCAAAGCTGTTTCCAAGTTCTCTGCTTATCTTCTTACTCAAACAAACCTACTAGAAGGACAGGGCTTTGGGGAATTCTTAAATTTCCCAAATATCTTCCCAAGAACATACCTCCAAAAATGTAAATAAGATGTGCAAGGGCAGCGTACTACCTTCCCCTTCCCCCCAGCCACCATCACAATATTCCCAAATACAAGCTGTAAACTGAGATCACTAGGAAATTATCAGGAGGGATTTTTACAGCTTACCATAAACTTAGGAGGATCAAGCAAAGAACAGAGAAGAGGTGTGTAGGGGGGTATATCAGGAGGAGAGGGGGAAGAGACTGGAGTACAGAACAAGTTCAAGAATCATCGTAAGAAATATGACATCCACTTTTTCTAAACCAATATTAGATTCCACTGCTACCCTGCCTATCACATTTTTCTGATTTGTCAATGCCAATACTTAGAACAGAACAGCAGCATATGCCCCCAGACTGTCCCCTTTTCACCTCAGTCTGGTTTACTCTGAGATTATGGGAAAGGGTGTATATGCCCTCAATCTTCCAAGAACAAAATGGAATTAAACTTGGAGACCCTTTAAATGTTTGAAGTATTGCTCAGCAATCTCTGCATGGTCAAAGAGCAATTGCACTGGACGGACAAGACTTTAACACACTGCACACCACAAGAAAAAAGTCCTTCACTTCAGGAATAGTACCAGGCAGTTCCTGCTTGGATAAAATTCTCCCCTTTACTCATGATTGTTCTGGAGCAGAAGCAGGTTAACCCACAAGAAGCTACTGCTCCAGCTGGAAGAAAAACCTCAGCTGCAGGCTTGCAAACAAGAGCTTTAAACCTCAACCAAACAAAAACTATTTTAATTAAGGGTGTGTTTCCTTCAGCATGCTGATAGAATTAGGTAAGGCCTACTTAAAGGATGAGTAATAAATAGAGAAACCCTCTTTAAAAGCTTGCTTCTTTTTCTCCACCCAGTCTTGAACTCACAAACAAGAAATCAGGTATACACAAATATACAAACTGGAAATACTTCACCCACCACCTTCTCTAACACAAAAATTGTAAGTGTCTCCATTTCACCACCTGATAACTGTGTGTTAAAGATTCACACAATTTAAACCTTACCTTTTGCAAACATTGGCAAAATATCTGGGCTTCCCCAGCTCCAAGTATATTTACTTTCGTTGAAAACAGAGTCAAATTCCACTGGATTCTCCTTCCACCCTGTTAAACAAACACATCTGGATTTAAATGGGGTTGCCAGAAGATCCCATTGACTGCTAAGATTCATAGTCCATGCAAAATAGATGGTTTTTAAAGTTTCCCTTATATTATTTCACAATGAACTCCACTTTGGAGTCTCTGTTTTACTTCAATCTCAGTCTTTATTTGCAATTAGTCCCCCATTCATTAAGATGTGAGCTGAAAATTTAAAGCAATCTCATTATGCAGGAATTCAAACAAGCAAAACACAGCTGGTTTACGTTCTAAACAGCTAAAATTCTCCTGAATTCTAAATCCCCTGTTGCCTGAACTCAGTTTCTGGAATTTTAGGCAATAAATTACACAGTCACATATTTCCATCAGTCATGTTCCACCTCATCACGATAAAACTTTCAAGATCTTCTGTTTCCATGACAAGGCAGCTGACCGAAAGATATAGAGATGCTCCTAATGGCAACTCCTGCCAATCCTGCCTTTGTAGCAGATGTCAGAAGGAAGAACTTTTTAATTAGGAACTCGGACAAGACCAAGCAATTCCTCTTACCTCCCCCGTCCAAACCCAACACACAACACTACAAGTGTCCAGGCCTGGAAGCCTGGGGGAAGGCAGAGGACCACACCAAAGAACAAGTCAGAAATGCAAAGGCTTGTTCCACCAAGCATGCAGTAACAGCTACCTCTGGACAAAACACACGGCTGGGGGTTTCGCTCCATTTTGCTACTGATTCTCCAACTCAAGCTAGCGATGGCTCAGCTAAGACACCGCCGTTTGACTTCTTGTTTGCGACATCCGCTTAGCCGTCTCCCGTTACATCCCAAACGATAATTAAAAACTACGTTATGTGAAGGGGTCACTCTGTAAGATACTTCTGCTTTTAGACTCATGGTGCTAAACTTCACCGTGTTACAAAATACTAACTTAAGTAAGGCACATTCATAGCTATTAATATTAAGAGTGGGAAATCCATTCAAAAGGATTCCATTCCATATAATCTCGGTATACAAAAAAATCATGCAGGCATTTATCAATAATCATCTAGAAGTCCAGCACACCACTGAAACACCTGGTTTTGGAGGACAGTGTTTGAAGATTTAGGACTGGCATACCTTTAGCAACTGCGCTGACATCTTCATAAAAGCCAGCTATGAGCGCAACGTGCCCTGGCCTGGATTCTGTTGGGACCCGGGTGTGAGAGATCCCCCAGCTGCCATTAGTCTCGAGAATAGCCCTGAAAACAGGACACAAGGCAGTTAATGCTTACAACTTCTTGAAAGTACAATGGATGGCAGATAGAGAGCGACAGGTAGATGTGAGGCAGGAAATGCAAAGAAAAGTCAGACTCAACCAGATTTTCACTACCGCCTGCTGTGCAGCAAAACAAGCAGAACATTAACCTGCAAGTAGTTCTATATTATAACACCCCACAGAGAACATTACTATTGTGGCCCATCAGCACTGCAAACAGATGAGTTTAGCTGGCGTTCAAATACGCTTAGAATTAACATACTATTTTTTCTGCTGCTTTCTGCTAGAGCTTATTTCCCCCTCACCCCCAACAGACCGTTTCTGCCTGGCGTTACTTTTCTTTGTTCATTCCATTTAGCTTGAAAGTGTCTCGTTCAATCTTCTCTTATTCATTACAGATGCTCATTTATAATTAGTTCTTGTGACCATGTCTGCCTTTATTTGTGCTGAATACGGGAAGCCAGCATCAAGAGAATTTAAAACCCACATAAATCTGTGGAGCAAATAATTCCAGCAACATGGTCCTCCATGTACGTAAACCTTGTAACTCTTGCAATTACACGGAAGTGAAGGAGAATACCTACTCACCATACATACAGACACAGAAATTATCTAGAGATTATGCAATAATACAATAGTTAGATAAAAAGTAAAGAAAATAGAGAACAAAGCCAAAGTGTAAGAAACAGCCTCATAAACAACTCGTCTGCTGAAGACAGGAACAGCTGGAGCCTGTCGGAGAGGAAGCGGCGAGCATTACCATGTGCTGTTTTCTTGTCTCCATCTTCTGGAAGAAGAGAAAGATTCACTGCCCAGTGTCAGAGCAAGGGTTGAAAGAAAGAAAACAAAACAGACCAGGACATACCATACACTAACGTTTAGGAAAAAAGCAGCAGAACCTTCTGAACAAATTCAAAGCAGATTTTAAGAATCAAATCTACTGGGAAATGGTATTTTTGTTGTTCATTATATAAGCTACAAAATTTGCCAGATTTTTATCAGATGTGTTTTAGCCCAAGTAGATTGTAAGTTCATTCTTTGTAACTTTAACAGAGATTTTATACAACTATTAATTACAAGATCCCTACACTCAGGGCTAAATACATTTCTTACTAATAAAGTAAGAATCAAACCACAACCTAAAGTTTCAAACTTCACTCTAAGCTTGCAGGATTCACAGTTCGCTTGTTCCTTTTTTTTCTTTTTTTTTTTAATGCATCCCAGACCTGCTTGAAAGCTCACAAGAGTATTTGGAATAGCCAAAATATTACAGTGAAAAATGTAAAAGGTGATACAGCACTCTGACATTTTATTCCTAGCTCTCACCTCAGCTAGGTTTTAAGACAAGTTTTATTGAAAAGAAGTACTAATTTGAAAAAAGGATTTAAGTATTACTTAAAGTGGTAATTTATTTTCACTGGAAACTGGCAAAAATGTATTGCACTAGCATTAGTGGAAGATTTAAGGAAAAAAAAAACCCAACCAGTTTTGATCCTCCTCACACTTCATTGTCACAACAGGCAGGAAATTGTCTAAATCAGAATTTGATTTCTATCAGGTTGGAAAGTCATCCTTTGCTTTTGTGGGGCTGTATCACAGGATTTGAAGTCAACAATAACACATACCAGGGAAAACAAAAAATAGAGCCAGACAATGTCATTTACCTGTTCAAAATTCATTTAGCTATTATGAATTATTTCAACGCTTTTTACTCTAAAGAACCATTATAAAAATTAATTTCCTTGACAGTATAAACACTAGCTACTCATAGTAACAATCATGAATATGAACAGGATAATATACAGCTGAAACATGATAGGGAAGGAAGAAAACATCGTCCCCCAAATCCCCATCACCACTGCAACAGTTCAGACCATTTACTGTCCCTCACAGCCACCACAGCACTGCTGAAAAACAGATTTTTCAAGAATATTTGTAAAAGAAAACACTAGGTACTTGGTATCAGCCAGCAATCTGCTCCAAGCCTAATGGATATTTATTATTAATTTTATGTACATACTAAACCTGCTTCTATTTATATCACATTGTGACAAGAACGGTTCTTGCTCATTTAAAGATAATTTTTCCTCATTACCAACACAGTAGTCCTCAGAGCGCTCCACCTGGATGAGACAAGTAATCTGCCTGTTACATTGCCCGCTACTTTAAAGTGGAAAAGGGACTGAACACTTGGCACTTAGGAATGAACATGCAAAAAAGTGAACTTTATATGAAATTACATATACTTTGGGTTAATACTATTGAAAAAGGAAAGCTCAGACAGAAGTAATTTGGCAGAATCCAAAAGGAAACACTTCCAGCAACCAGCATCTGATCTTGTCAACCTGTCCACAAAGTTAACTCTCAGAAGTTGTGCAGCTCAAAGGTTCAGTGACAAAACACGGAGCCTCTTGCTTTGAAACTGTAGCAGTGTACGTAAGGGAGCCAAAGAGATGCCCTGGACTGCATGGCCCTCCACGTTTCAGAAGGCAGAACGTGCCACACGTTTCTTCTCTTCAGCATCTGACATACACATGCTCACACACATATGTATTTATATGCAGAATGAGAGACAACAAGAGAAAGACAGATGGCCAATACTGGCATTTTATTCTGCTCAATGACCTGCTAGCATCTTTGCTTGCTACGAGGCAGTTCTTCCCCTCCATTCACCCACATACTTTCAGTGCAGGTGACAATTTTTAACTCTACAGATCTTGAAATAGAAAGTCCATAACTCCACAAGCAAGGTAAAGCAGAGTTAGCAAAAACGCAAACTTCCCAACACTGGACATGCTAATACATGGTTTAACTTCTTTATCTCCAAATAGGTGTGATAACCCTGAATGGCTGAAAATGAAAAAAAACCCACTTAATGACAAAAATACCCATTAAAACTCTTTTCTAGCCACTACCCACCACTGATCCTAGTGATGGAGCCTTTATGGCATTCACACCTTGTTGATGGTGCAAAAGACCAACAGTTTTATCACTAAGAGAAGAAACTGCTCTGAAGGAAGTGTGAAGTCCACTGCTAAAAGACGAGATGGAAAAGTCAGGCTGATGTGGTAGACATCTGCCAGCAGCAGACAGCACCTTACAGAAACACTAACAACAGGCAAGTACAAGTAATCCCACATAACCTGGCAAGTGCTGCAGCAGGGGCTCCTCAGATTTGCAGCAGACTGCAAACGCCCTAACAGCTTCAGAGGCTTGATTGTGTGGGTTTGCTCTGATATTCAAGCCATACCAGTACTATTACACAAAAGTAGTCTCATTTAATACTATCTACTTTTTTTAGTCTAATAAATTATTTGTCTTATGATCAAATAATTATCTTGATATAAAGAAACAGGGAAGGTTGGTGAAAATTAATTTTAAGCACTCAAGGATATGACTTTTAACACTCTCTTTTGGCAGTATTAGTTTTTCACGATCTTAAGCCAAATTGTGCCATTAAGCAATCAGACACAGACTAGAGAGCACAAGGGAGGCAGTGGGGTCACGGACGCAGGAAGGGTGGAAGAAATAGGAAGTGGCAGCCTGCTGTTAGATCCATTCAGGCCACCTTTTTTAATCACTCCTTAAAAAGGTTCATCAGTAGCCTAGAATTAGAAGACAAGCATGTTAATGAACCAGTACTCCTAAACTGAACATCCAGGAAGCAGTTTAAATTAACGACTTTGTTAGGCTTCTGAACCCATAACACGCTGATGCGAATGGAGAACATTCACACTCCTCCCAATTAGTGGCAACCTGTAATTTTCAAAGGGCAATATTGATTCCATTTGCTCTGTTCATGGTTTAGCAGCTTTACTGACATCAGGGGATACCAACTCCCATTCAGGCATTTCTGCAGAGTGCAGCTCTGCACAAGTTCATCACTTGGAAGGCAGAGGGAAGGCAGTACCAAGCCACCCCCGGTGCCGTCACTTCTCTCATTCTCTATCCCACATTGCATAGAGCTGCCTCCAGAAGCAGGATCTTCTGGATCAGAAGTATTTTTGGATGGACTTACCGCAGGTAAGGTGCTTGGGGCGTACCGTTGCTGTTCAGTTCATACAGCGAATCTGCCCGCAGACCGTCAGCAACAAAGAGTACGAGACGCTTTGCCGGAGGTGGCAGCGGGGCCTGCTGAGGAGTCATACCGTGAACCAGGGGAGAGCTGAAGTAGATGTCAAAAATGGAGACTAAGAACACACAATGCACAAGGAGGCCAGCGAGTATGAAGACTGGTATACCCATGGCAACAGCAGGCTGGCAAGGCCCAGTCCAACACTGAGAGAGATGGAGAAAAATAAAGTTAGGCAGATGACACTTACCAGGATCAATATTTATTTTATTTGTGTCATGGTTTAACCCCAGCCAGCAACCAAGCACCACAGAGCTGCTCGCTCACATCCCCCCTCCTCCCTGAGTGGGATGGGGAGGAGAATCAGAGCAAACAACAAGGAAACTCACAGGTTGAGATAGGAACAATTTAATAATTAAAAAGAAATGAAATAATGATACTAATAATACTAGCAATACTAATAATATGTAATGAAAATACTGCTACTACTACTATGTAATGAAAAAAATGGAAAATAAAAATTATACAAGTGCTCACCATAGCCAACTGACTCCCAGCCAGTCCCCAAGCAGCGACAGCCAGGGCCCCAGGAGCCAGCAGAGCCAGATCCCTAAGAGCCAGAGCCAGACCCCTATCCCACTCCCCGCAATGTATATACTGAGCATGATGTTTCATGGTATGAAATATCCCTTCGGGCAGTTTGGGTCAACTGTCCTGGCCATGTCCCCTCCCACAGCCGGGAATACGGGGCAGCATGCAAAACTGAAAAAGTCCCTGATTGGATAGAAACGTTCCGTAGCAATACCTAAAAACATTAGCATGTTGTCAACATTCTTCTCAGCACGAACCCAGAGCATAGCCTCATACTAGCTACTGTGAGGAAAATTAACTCTATCCCAACCCAAACCAGCACAGTTTGTTATAGAATGGGAGGACGACAACTGCATTCCTCACCCAGATCCATTACCCGTCTCTATTGCCAACACGCTTTTCCCCCAGAACTTTCAGTCAAAAGCCACTGCCTGGCTAATTCAGACTTTCAGACAGTCTCAGCAACTCATCTCTGGTGTTCAGTGAGGAATCAGGTGGCTTCAAAAGACTATCGAATCCAGTCACTTGGTCACATTCATCTTTTTTTGGTCACCTCCACCAGTGACAGGAGGCTGGGCCAGCGCAGAGTCCCCATGCACATGCCGCCCTCTGCCGGCTGACTGCATGGGTGCGCTGAGCTCTCAAGCTGGGGAAAGCCACCCTATAGCAAACATCCATCCCCAGCTGGTTTTTTTTAATTATACTATCGAGTCTGGGCTCATAATATTCCACCTAGAAACAGAAAGCTTCTTTTAAAGGAACACAGGCGCTTGGCTGAATGCAGAACACTTCTAAAGCTTCTAAAAGCACAACAGTGGCAGGCTTATGTTTTATGGACAATGATATTCCCTTTCTGAATGTTTTCCCTGCCCTGTCATCCTCTGAAGTCAGCTTAGGAATACAAATACGCTTAACAGCAGGTAGACTGGAAACGCACGGGTCTGCCGTGTGTACCGAGGGGTGCGTATGATGTGGACTGAAAGCAACACAAATATGTACATTGGCTCAGGGGAGCGCGGGATCTGAGCCTGAAGGCGGCTTCGGTCTGAGAAAGGACTATTAAAGCTGTCCAGGCTGCTAACTTCGTTATTTAAATATTAGCTAATTATCAATCTTAACAAAACAACACCTTCACTCACCAATTTAGAAACAGATGTTCCTAACAGCCTGGGAGGTTTAGATATTCAATTACCTATGTAAATATACACCTCTCCCTACAAGAAACTCTTTGTTTCAGAATTTAGTTAGTGCTTCTAAATGACAATATATGTTCACCTTGTTACTTGCCGAATTCCAGAAGCTGGGCAGACACAGCCATCAGACAGCAAGACTATTAGTCTTATCAAATAAAGGGAAAAGCTTCACCACCACATAACCTCAATTCTGACCAAAACTCTGAAGGATGTTGTTTAAAATAAAAATGTTAAAGGGAAAGGAAAACCAGAGAAAAAAAGCCACACACTAAAAAAAGATGTGAAAGTTAACATATATTATCCCTTATTAATCCAAGGAAAATTCAGGTCTACATGGAACTTAACCACAACTTCGAATTCCACCTAGCACAGATGCAACAACTCCAACCCTAATCAGAAACATTAATATAGTAATTTCTCATTTTAGAGATTTGGAGAGAAAACCAGGTTCACAAGATCGAGATAACTAAATACCACATTTCAAAGAGACACATTAGTTACACTTAAGTGATGAAACAAAACATTTTCATTAATCAGCAACTTACACGCTTCTATGTCTACAAGTGAGATTCCAAGAGAGACTTGGACTATTTGTAAATATCTGTTTGTTCGGTTTTTAAGGACTCAGGGTTCCTGCATGTATATAAATATATGAAACCACAGTCACAGAAATGCCATTAAGTCAAACACCAGACCTCATTTTATCTAATCAGTTTTATTTTCCATAGGGCTTTTTCTTCTGATGTAGTTGTGTTTGATAAGAAAATCCAAACTATTAATGCCTTAAACTGATGATTGAAGCAGTTACTTCAACCAGATACTTGCTGTTGTATGTTCCCAGTGCTACAATTCTATAGTTTAACATATTCTAACATCTTCTAATTAAAGTATTAGTAACCTAATCTGTTTACGGCACTAGCTATTTCTCTTTGGTTTAACTCCCCCCAGGCCTGAGCCCTTGCTTGCAGCAAAGAGTGCAATCAACGCACTTCAAATTTCATGCTGTCTTAGACTATAGTGATCTCAGAATTAATTAAAAAAGAGACTTCCTTGTGCAACCACAGTTCGACTACATTACACCAGACTATTCATCTGGGCGCAACATACCCAACTGCTCCTCACCATCAGATGATTTCAAGACAGGCAGCTCCCAGAGAACCTGCTTCTGCCACATCCCCCAGAGCTGCTCATCCTGCCTCTACCTTAGGGTACGCTGCTCCTTTAATGCATGACTTCGGGTGCCATCACTGTGCCATAACCTTGTGAACAGCATCCTATGCTCAGGCTTACCGATACTTTCCCACAAGTATAAGGTGTTTGGAAAGCTCCTAGCCGCACCTCAGCTGAACGCCAGAATGGAGCCCAGCACTCTTTTTAACGGCGGTCTGTGGTCTTGCTTTCAAACTACCAGCTGTCAGGCGAGGTGTTGCAAACGAGCACTCCTCTGTGGTTAGAGAAGGCTCCAACTCAAAGAACAAAGTTCAAATACAGTCAACAGCAATTCTAGAGAGGCACCTTGTACACCTTTTTATCTTTATCAAGTTACAACTAAACATAGTCATTGCTAGCCCAAAGTGCCTCAAGCTCATTTAAGGCAGCTGATTTCTATAGTACATCCTCTTCAAACGTCAAAGTGTCATGGAAGAAGAAAACATTTCCAGTAACTGGTTTTCAATGGAAAAGGAGATTTTTATCACTGCCTGGTTTTCTCTGGGATTTCCAAACCAAAGCACCCATTCTACCCCTGCAGGACTAACACTCACAACCAGGCTTTTTTGGACCAAACTTCCCACAGGCCCATTCCCACCTCAGTGTCAGCTCCCCTCAACACGTGGCTAAGCCACTTGGCGCACACCCCCATTTCTTCTCAGCCTGCAATACTGTTATGTACTTGACTATCAAGAAGGGTGAATGAACAGCAAGCAGGCACATGGATGGCATTTCTTGTAGAGATCCTCTTCTCCACAGCTGAATGGGGCAGGTGGGAGAGGTCTGACAAGCAGAGCAATGAGACTGTACAAGACAAGAACAACTGTGCACATTGGTCTTCTCAAAGGGATACAATGGTGAGGGGATGGGCAAAGCTTGGGTCCTTGAATGCAGAGACAGTGAAGCTTCTGTTTCTGCCCATGATGCATAAACATTAGTTTGCTTCAAAGGTATGGCAACATGGATGAAAATGGGCAAGAAAATTCCAGAAAGCTTTTTATACAGACTGAACACAGCCAGAGAGGTCCCCCAGGCACACTGCCTGCGACAGACACTGCAACCACCATACGTACAGACCAGGTTTTGAGCCACCTTTCTGCAGATAAAACGCTAACCAAGATAACACATTCGACCATTCACTGAATTACAAAATTACTTGTCAGAGACCTGACAAACACATCTGGAAACAGACAGATTCAGATATTAATGAAGTAAAGCGTTCCTTGCCAAAGAAATGACTTCACTAGCCCCCTCTGAACTTACAAGTACCACAGTCTAAGACAGACATGGGTGGAAGACAGTTGAATGACAGGCTGAAATGGTGCCTTCCTGTATAAAAAGCAATTTGCATTTTGAGAAAGAGTTTATCTAAGTGATCCCTTGCTGTGCAGAAACAAGTCTTGGCTGATACTTGTTCATTTCTTGGCTGAATTGCTACCAACTGGTACCTCACACAGTTCTTTTAACTAAAAAAAGCTAGAAAGACAGGAAAGCAAAGAAATAAAAAAAGAGTATTAGAGGTACCACTCAGAAGTTGTCTTCAGTTTGCATCTACACTGGTAAGAAAACTGAGGGTGTATCTCTTTCTAGGAGGGATAAAGCTACAATCTAAGTTAAGGCTGACAGAGCTGACAAGGACATTTCATTATCAACATCAATACTTAATTGTTAACTTCTGGATTTGTCCTGCAAATTGCAGGACAATCCGCTTCCCTAATTGGGAATGCCTAAGTCACTTGAACTCACATGTGCAGATATTTAAGCTTCTTAAATCTAGGATGGGTTACCATTTTTCATTCTGCTGTGGAACAAGATAATTTTGTCAATGCATTCTATCTACTTGATACGAAGAGTCATTACTTCAGTGGATGCCAAGACAAAAAACATCTCTTCTTGGAGCAGCCATGCATCCCCCAGAACCCTCTTATTAAAAGCTGATTTACCATGGATCACTGAAACATGAAAGCTAAACCAGGAAGGAAGGAAGTGAAAGACCGAGGGACCTCTGGGATTTGTGAATGGACCACCACGGAAAAGGAGGATTGATGCTAAACAATTTCTGTGCTGTGTAATCGCAGCTACAGGTATTTGTGGCGTGAGCAGAAGTAAAAGATGAGTGTCTCTCACTTCAAGTATAAACTAAACACTTGTAGTCATCTTTCCTCCATTGCACTCTTGCATGAGAGCACATCAATATGGAGAGGGA